CAAAACTACCTCCAGGAGATGAGGTTTTAGTGTACCAATAAGGTTTTAATTCTCCTTTGCGTTCATCTCAGGCGTACCTGATCTCTTGTGACTCTGCGTTACCTGCAGTAGCAGCTTTAAAAGGCCTCGCTTCAAAGTGATTGCACCACTCACCACCACGAGGCTTGCAGGGTTGACATGGGTCATCTATTACCCACCAATAGAAAAAACCAATTGCTCGAAGGTGGCAGATTGAGAATCCACGAAGGAACATTACGATGACGTGGTTGTTTCTATATGCATCAGTCACCGGTTTTTCGAGGCGAGGTGCCCGAAACGGTGCTTGGTATTCGAGGCACTCATGTCTGAAGCCGACCCTTTACCAAATTATCCAGGACCTTCGGCAGATCCAACGCACGCACAATACCTAGACATCGGCTAGGTAGTGGACAGGGACTCTGTCTTGATATCCGAAAACTTTCCACAAGGAGGAACTTCTGTAATGTTAGCCTTACACACTGCTACCCTACGTACAGTACGGACTACAGTCCTTGCATTGACCGGCGGTTCACTATTCATGATGCTCACTGACAGAGGAATCACTGCAGTATCAACCGGTATTTTCCTACTCAACATAGAAGTAACAACTCACGATGTCCCAGAGTAGGTTTTGCAACTGGAAGAAGGGATGAGACAAAATTTTAACGTCCCACGAGAACACGACAGTCACATACCAGGTAAAAGAGAAATTACGCCAAACAAAGTAATGTCTACCGAGAAGGATACCTAGTACAGCCATACAGACCTAACGTGACACAAATCCCATTATCCGTGGATTAAAGATGCATTTAGAGTGATGAAAGTCATCTCTTCAGCAGTACCAAAATCTGTACCCAACCAGTCATCGTTTATCAAAACATGATGCTTCCGCACAAGTCTACAAAGTGACGAAAGAAAGAGGACCACCGCAAATGGCGCATGTCAAAGCCATTCATAATGGGAACAGCAAAAAACGTTGCTAGAAAAGAGGAAGGGCTATATTTTACACGTCCGCTGAAGATTCATCTTCGAGGTAAAAGTCTTTCCACGAACACGAATCCTGCACTGGAAACGGATCCCATCTGCTCTCGAGGAAGTGTACCGCAAACAAGCATATTCCTGATTATTAAGCCCTCATATAAAGCGGCCAAGACCGGCGGAGAAATTATCCAACGAACCAGACTACCCGTTCAAAGGCAATGATGGTCAAGATGGAGGACATAACCCCCGAAACTAGCCACTTGGGCACTTCATATGACGCAAATTACATTCAAACACTAACACAACAAAGGGTGGATGTAAAACTCATTTTCGCCTTCTTATGGGTGAGTATGTAAGATGTGAGGTGTTGGCTGACGTCACCTTACAAAGTTTATGTCGTTCTTGATAGGAAGGAGGTCGTCCGACGCTGCCACCATCACAATTCATTCCACAATTGCCTCTTTTACCTGGAATAGACAAACTAATTAGATGGGGTATCCTCCAGTAGGATTGCTAGTACTTGAAATGGGAAAAGTAATCAGGATTATGCATTTCCAGAGAACACTTCCTTCTTGCAACAACTAAAAACCCATTTTGCTACGGACTGCGCATTCACTAAAAAAGTGTATTTATTCATACAGGTTTTATAGTGACACTCCATAATGCCCCCTTTACATCAAACAAAATAAAAATATTGGTAGAGTATCAGGAATGCCAACTCGAAGTAACTAGCCGTTTTCCTAGGTTAAAACCAACGGATTTTTTTGCATACCTGGTTAGGAAAATGAGCTTCTAATTTAAATATACCACAAGTGATAATAAAGCGCATAAAATAGAAAGGAAGGAGCAGACCCCACGAACACAGCTTGCTCGGAAATTCAACCTGGCGCACTTGAGTGCTTCAAGCTACGCGGAGGATTTTTAAACAATAAAACCATTTAAGTTACCTGCAAATTTCGTCCCCAACTGCTTCATTTTGTCGATGCTAATTGTGTTATGCTCGTAAAAATTAATTTACCTACACAACTGCTACGCCACAAAGGTAAAATACTACACTATAATTAAGTTTTTAAAAACAACTACAGTTAAATATAGTGTAGCGTCCCGAGACTCCCTGAGGACGAATGAAGACACAATACTCGGGCAGAATATATACATTCAGCACAGAGAAGGTGCATGGGCTACTGGCATGGCCCAAAAGGCCAGCCCACCCAGCGAGGCACAGGGGGGCTAATTCAAAGTCCAAAAGTGGCACCTCGCCAGAACCGAGGGAGAAACCACTATCGTATTACAATAGTAATGGATTACGCTGGGTCCATGCTATATATAGTGTAATACGATAGTGGTTTATCCCTCATTATTGGTGAGGCGCGACTTTTGTACTTTGAACTAGCCCCCTTGTACCTCGCC